GGCTGCTTTTCTTTTGTTCACTGCTCCTTCCCCTGGCATGTTGTTGGCATCCCATTCACTGTTTCAACAAATGTTTATGGAGTGCCTACTGAAAAAAAACAAACCCTACAGGACACAGTAGAACTGCACCATAGGGTCTCCAAGGAGTGGCTGGTGGATTCGAACTGCCGACCTTTTGGCTAGCAGCCATAGCTCTTAACCACCACTGTGCCACCAGGGCTCCTGAGTGCCTACTGTGTACAATAAATACAGAAATTATAATGTATTTTAGAAGGTGGTAAGTACTATGGAAAAAAAATCAAGCAAAGCAAGAGTGTTTTGTACCACTGGGGTGGACTGGTTGCAATTTTTAAGTAGCATGGTCATGGAAAAGGAAATATTTTAGCAACAACTTGAGGAGGTGAGAGAGGGTGCCATGCAGCTATCTAGGGAAAGAGCATTCCCAGTAAAGGTATCAGCCAGTGCAAAGGTCCTGAGGCAGGGATAAGTTCAAGAAGCAGGAAAGGGTTCAGAATGAATGGAGTGGAGTGTGTAAGGTGGAGAGCAGAATTAGAAGAAGTCAAAAAGGAAATCAGGAGTCAAGGGTGGTGGTTGTTAGGTGCAGCCAAGTCAGTTCCGACTCATAGCGACCCTATGTAAAACAGAATGAAACATTGCCTGGAGCTACACTATCCTCATAGTCGTTGCTATGCATGAGCCCATTGTTACAGCCACTGTGTCAATTCATCTCACTGAGGGTCTTCCTCTTTTTCTCTGACCTTCTACTTTACCAAGCATGATGTCCTTCTCTAGGAACTGATCCCTCCTGATAACATGTCCAAACTATGTGAGATGTAGTCTCACCATCCTTGCTTCTAAGGAGCCTTCTGGCTGTACTTCTTCCAAGACAAACTTGTTCATTCTTTTGACAATTCATGGTATATTCAATATTCTTTACCAACACCACAATCAAAGGCCTCTATTTTTCTTCAGTCTTCCCTAGTCATCGTCCAGCTTTTGCATGCATATGAGGTGAATGAAAACACCACGGCAAAAAAGGAAAAAGAAAATACCACGGCTTGGGTCAGGCGCACCTTGTCTTCAGGGTAACGTCTTTGCTTTTCAGCACTTGAAAGAGGTCTTTTGCAGCAGATTTGCCCAATGCAATGTGTCATTTGATTTCTTGACTGCTGCTTCCATGGGTGTTGATTGTGGATCCAAGTAAAATGAAATCCTTGACAACTTCAATCTTTTCTCCACGTATCATGATGTTGCTTATTAGTCCAGTTGAGAGAATTTTTGTTTTCATTATGTTGAGGTGTAATCCATACTGAAGGCTATAGTCTTTGATCTTCATCAGTAAGTGCTTCAAGTCCTCTTCACTTTCAGCAAGCAAGATTGTGTTGTCTGCATATCACAGGTTATTAATGAGTCTTCCTCCAATCCTGATGCCCCGTTAATCTTCCTATAGTCCAGCTTCTCAGATTATTTGTTCATCATACAGATTGAATAAGTATGGTGAAAGGATACAACCCTATGCACACCTTTTCTGACTTTAAACCACATAGTATCTCCTTGTTCTGTTCGAATGACTGCCTCTTGATCTAGGTACAAGTTCCTCATGAGCACAATTAAGTGTTCTGGAATTCCCATTCTTCACAATGTTATCCATAATTTGTTATAATCCACACAGTCAACAGACGCATGGGGGAGAGCCAACAGAGTTTTTAAAATAAACTGTCTTAATCATCTAGTGCTGCTATAACAGAAATACCACACGTGGATGGCTTTAACAAAAAGAAATTTATTTTCTTACAATCTAGCAGGCTAGAAGTCCAAATTCAGGGCATCAGCTCCAGTGGAAGGCTTTCTCTGTCTGTCAGCTCTTGGGGAAGGTCCTTGTCATCAATCTTCCCATGGGCTAGGAGCTTCTCTGCCCAGGAACCTCAGATCCAAAGGACGTGCTCTGCTCCCAGCATTGCTTTCTTGGTGGTATAAGGTCCCCAACTCTCTGCTCACTTCCCTTTCCTTTTATCTCTTGTAAGATAAAAAGTGGTGCAGGCCACATCCCAGGGAAACTACCTTTACATTGGATCAGAGATGTGATCTTAGTAAGGGTGTTACAATCCCACCCTAATCCTCTTTAACATAATCAAATCTTGCCTCATTAACCACAGGCAGAGATTAGGATTTACAACACATAGAAAAATTACAATCACAAAATGGAGGACAACCACACAATACTGGGAATCATGGCCTAACCGAGTTGACACATATTTTTGGGGAACACAATTCAATTCTTGACATAAACTTTAGTCAGATACAATTTATATGCAATAAAATGCACCCATTTTAAGTGTATGCTTTGATGAATTTTGACCAATGTATATATCCATGTAACCAGTGTCTCCATCAAGATATATAGAGCATTCCTATTACCCACAGAAGTTCCCTCCACCTCCCCTCCCAGACCCCAGGTAATTCACTGAACTGTTTTTTGTGGCAATAAATTCATTTTGCCTGTTCTAGAATTCCACTTAAAATGGATTCATGCAGTAGGTACTCTTCTGGGTCTGGCTTACCTTGCTCAACATAAAGTTTCTGAGATTCACCCATGTTGTGTGTGTGGTGCAGTGAATTACTTAATATGGTCCTGCTAGCTATAGTCTTTGTGACTGTCACACAACAATTGGGTGAGACTATGCAAATAAGGTGCTTGTGACTTACAAAGGGGATTGGACAACTTGTTGCTAATGCAAATAAAGTGCATGGAAACCTTCTGTGGGTGGGACCATGCATATAAGGTGAATGAAACCCTAATGAGGGAATTGGTCAGCTTTGCCATCCCACTAGGCTTAAAGGGAGACACAGAAGACAGCAAGAGACAGTGGTGCAGCAGTAGCAGGAGTGATAGCAGCAAGAGATGGCAGGAACTAGGAGAATGGCCAAAGGCATCTGCAGTGGGACCTGCCAACCCACGGAGATAGGAGCGTTGTAACACTTGCCTGAGTAGGGCAGAGGCAAGGCTGACAGGCCGAAGAGATGTGCCTCTGGGCACCGCTGAGAAGAAGCTGTCCTGATTGAAGAACTGTATCCTGAGTTGTTTCTGATCCTGAGTTGTACCCCGTTACTTCCCTAATAAGCCCCATAACTGTGAGTATGGTCTGTGAGTTCTGTGTGACCATTGCAATGAATTATCACACCCAGCAGAGAAATAGTACCGTGAGAGGGACGGCTGGTGTCAGAATTGGTGAAAAGGTTGGAGGGTGGAGGTATGGCTGACCTCCACCTCACAGGAATCAGCTTTGGGCTGGTGATGCTGATAATGATTCTCCTCCTCCCTTGTGAAGTTAGAGGTCAGATGCCTTCACCATGCCAATTTTACATGCGTATCAGTAGTTTGTCCCTTTTTGTTCTAAGTATGATATACTACAATTGATTTATCCATTCACCTGTTGGGCTGTTTCCAGTTTTTCACTATTATGAATAAAACTGTTATGAACATCTGTGTACAAGTCTTTGTGTGGACATGTTTTCATTTCACTTGAGTATATACCTAGCAGTGGGATTTCTGGGTTGAATGGTAAGTGTATGCTAAGCTTTATAAGAAGGTTTCAAATTGTTTTCCAGAGAGGTTGTACATTTTACATTCCCACTCAATGTATGACAGGCCTAGTTGTGGTTTTTTTTTTTTTTTTCCCTTAGTAATCTTATAGTTCTAACATCTATGTTTAGATCAATAGAGGATTTTGATCAAAGAACCGACATGATCTGACTTATGTTCTAAAAGCATCACTTTGCTGTGTTGAGACTAGACTACGGCGGGACAAAATATGAACTCAAGGACACTCCTTGGGAGACAACTGCAATAATCCAGGCTTGGCCAGGCCAGGTAGAGGGGAGGTGGTACGTAGTGGTCAAATTCTGGAAATATTTAACAGCAAGGTTTCCAGGGAATGTTCTTCATTCCTCCTTGATGAATAATATCAAACTTTAAGGAAAGCTATTGCTTCTCTCATGAGGCATTGGTGATTCAGTGGTAGAATTCTCACCTTCCATGCAGAAGACCTGGGTTTGACTCCCGGCCAATGCACCTCATGTGCGGCCACCACCTGTCTGTCAGTGGAGGATGGCGTGTTGCTATGATGCTGGATGAGTTTCAGTGGAGCTTCCAGACTAAGACGGACTAGGAAGAAAGGCCTAGTGATTTACTTCTGAAAATTTGCCAATGAGAAAGCCTATGGATCCCAACGGTTTGATCTGCAACCGATCATGGGGATGGCGCAGGACCAGGCAACATTTTGTTTCATTGTGCGTGGGGTCACCGTGAGTCATGGGCTATCTGGATGGCAGCTAACAACGCTGCTTTTCTCAAAAGACTCATGTGATTGTAGTTTTACCTGAGGTCAAGTGTATGCACAGAACTTGCTTGAATGTGTGCTATGCATGCTATGCATCGTAACTTCACTAATATATTCTTTGCTATTTTAAAGTAAGTTACTGGTTTTAAATTTTAATCGGCAGATTATAATTATTCTGATATAGCAGCCCCAAACACAACATGCCAATTCATCCGTCCACCTCATGATAGACTTAAAAGAAAGAAAACCCAACACATTTCATGTCATGGTCTGCGTCAGTTCTGCAAAGCCTCATAAATCCATGTCTCGCTGCCTTAGCCACTTCAGCTAATGTCCGTCCCTTCCTTTAACTCATGATTTATGGCTGAAAGTTACTCTTTATGCCAGATTTATAAACTGTTCTTTCTTTATGTAATACTGACTTTGTACACCAGGCAAGACAGTAAATTTATTGTCTATGAGTTGTTACCTTGAAAAAATTACATCAATGCAAAGTGATTGCCTTTTAGCCTCTATAGCCAATAAATTTATTATTTTTTTTGAAGGAGATGATATTTATGAGGTCACAGGATAATATATAATGGGTGATCTCAGAATGAAAAGGAGTGAGTTGGAAGTTCTGGACAAGCCAAGGAGGAAGACTTACATCTTGTGCCAGTCATGTATAAGCTAGCCTCATTCTGCTTGCTTTTCATAGGACTCTTAAATCCTCTCCTATCTCTTCCTGTCACTGACTCCAGGGAGATGTCCCCTCAGCTCTCAGGTAAGATGAATTTTTTCCCTTCAAGGGGATTTCTTAATTGACAAGTGTTGCATTACATGTATTTTTGCAACCACCACCACAACAAAAATGGGAATGGGAAGTCTTGCTGAATAGAGTCTTGGTGTATTTATAATTCCAGCTAGGAAAGAATTATTACAGGATCCTCATTGCACATTTTAGGTTCAGTAATGGATGCAGTTCCCTCCCCCCTCCCCCCAAAATGTAAAAGTAGGAGGGTAATTGGTTATTTCATGTCATCTCTATAATTCAAATTTTTGTTTTGATCAACTTAAAAAAAATGTTTTAAATGGCACTAAATTTAAAATATCAATTATTTTTAGTTTTTCTTTTAAATGAGCTGATCCTGTGTAAGACTGGTTGTTCTTATTCTAGATTAATAATATATTTATTTTAAAATCAAGAGTAACTAGCTGATACATGAAACAAAAATGTTTATTAAAAAAAAAAAAAAGTTAAAAGCCGGAGCTAGGGATGTCACAGATTTCCAAGTACATTGATCTTTTCTTTTTGATTTATGTTTCATTCAATCCAAGTCTAAGTTGGATTAAAAAAAAAATGTATCAGCTCAGTGGATACTTATTTTGCTATTATCTCTTACTTTAGTTTAAGAAATGGACAAGTTAATATTTGGGCATCAGGTTTCATGAAAAAATTGACTGGATTTTTATCTTAATTTTAGACTTCTTTTTAAAATGGGGGGGGGGAGACAAAACTTCTAAGCCATTGGTTTTATCATTTCTAGTTTTTAATAACTTCTCCCAGGCAGGCTTTCTGGTAATTTTAAGCACTGTTCGTCATTCTTGCACTATTAATCGACTTCTAGGGTCACTGAGCTCCTAATTGGCAGCTAAATTAATGGTCAAAAAGAAGCATTAACTTTACTGAATCCTTGCTATTTTAAAAGCAAGAGTGAAAAGCACAAGATGAAATCAAGAGTGAATATTCAGAAATTACTGTCATCTTTAAAAACTTACATATATCACTGTTATGATTAAATAAAAGACACTTAAATGAAGTAAGTGTTGCATCTCACTTAAATTCTAACACAGGTGGCAGTTCACCTTAGAACTTTTGCCAGGTTTTTTCTCTCGGTTATTTGTTTCTCCATCAATGATCCTTCATGACATAAACATTCCTATATGGTCAAATGTTATAGATTTTGATTAACATTCTTCAGAACTACTGTGAGTGAACTCAGACACCTTTATAATGGTTTGTTCACTGTCTTCCAAATCTGGGTTGTAACTAAGTATTTGCAAGCCTGTGGAATGCTAGTATTATATGTGGCCTCCCTTCCTGACTCCCATGGCTTCCAACCGTAACACAGCAGCATTGGCCAAGAGACATAGCCTGGTGCCAAGTCTACACTTACCATACACCTTAAACCCCCTTACCATAGACCTTCCATTTACTTACCTTATACTTCACACACTTGCCATGTACCTTACATGCACTTTACATACTTCACACATGCTCATCATACATCTTACACACACTTAACATACACCTTACACATTTAAAAAAAATCTTTCGAACGCGTATACCTTATTCACGCTTACGGTATACCTTACACACGTGTACCATACACCTTATATGCCACTTAGCCTACCAAATTTCACATGGAAAATATTACTATTAAGGCCCTTAAAGATTATTTTAAAGCATATTCTTTTCTAAGTTGTTGTTGTTAGGTGCCATCGAGTCAGTTCTGACTCACAGCGACCCTATGTACAACAGAACGAAACACTGCCTGGTCCTGCGCCATCCTCACAATCTTTGCCGTGCTTGAGCCTATTGTCGCAGCCACTGTGTCAGTCCATCTCTTTGAGGGTCTTCTAAATATAATAGTAATCATATTTGTATTTAAATCTTGAAGTTCAGTAAGAAGTGATACCAACTTATTTGTCTTACAGGAAGAACATGATCAATCTTATCTTTTAGAAAACCACTCCTTTATGTTTTCTCTCACTCCAATTTCACCACCCAAATATCTAAAGGCAATAGACAGCAGCAGCTGGTAAACAGCAAGGAAGAACCAGACCTTACGAGCTGAAACGGTCTTTAGAGAGACTGTGGCGCAGGCTGCCCCCATAGTCAAGGCGGTTAAGCAGCTCGTCGAGGTCCCACGGGCAGTGACGAGTATTAGCTCCGTTCTCCCGACTTCCTATTCCGCTGGCTGCTACACTGAACTGTCACATTCCCACCTCTCTGTTGAAACACCCCTGACAAGTCATGAATTTAGCAAAGTTTTTCTAGTATTCCCACCCTGTCCTTGGTACCCCGCCCCCAAAGACAACAGGGAACAGAAATGACCAATTGAAGAATAAGCTGAGTTACTAATGTTGTTCCTCTGGTGTCGCAGCTGATGACGAAGCAAGATTAACTTTGGATGAGCTGGAAAGAGCTTCCCTTCTGCAGATCTTGCCAGAGATGTTGAGTGCAAAGAAGGGTGGTCTTGAGAACGCAGGTAAAATGATTCTTGTGTTTTATAGGTCGTCTGATTTTACTGCTATTGAATTTACCCTCTATTCCCATCTACTAGATGAGGTAAAACCCCCATCTTGGGAGCGAAAGATGAACTGTGTAAATTAATTATCCAACGCTCTCCCCTCCTGGCTTAAAGGCTCCTCTGCAATTGTCTTTTTTCTCAGCATCTTTGCCAATGTCATGCTCTACTTGGCACCTCAACATATTTTGTTTTTCTGTATGGATTTTTGTGTGGTATTATCCCAGTTTCTAAAGAGTACAATTTTAAATCCTGGTTTCTCACTAACATCTTAACCCAATTACTTAATCTTTCTATACTTCAGTTTGTTAATCAGTAAACAGGAATGATAAAAAGCACTCTCCTCTTAGGGTTATTGTGAAGAGTAAATGAGAAAATGCAAGTAAAATGCTGAGCACAGTCACACAGAAAATAATGAATCAAGTGTCAGCTGTTACTAATTTCTCCATGACTGTATTCTTCCAAGCACTAATACAAATGCCCAGGGTGTTCTGAAAACAAAATGGAGCATTTTAATTGACACTGTTTAATAGAAAAACATTTACCTGTTATAAAAATTTTCGATAAACTACTGAAGTGCTAACTGAATGAGGAAAATGCTGCACCTTTTGTGAATTCCATAGATAGGAACTAAGGGGCTTGCCTGCATGAAAATAAATATAGCTAGAATGTGAAAAAAAGGAAGACTAGACACTAGACAGTTTAGTAATATGCTACTTTGTTTATTTTAAATAAGACAAGTGTAAAATAGAAACAATAGACCAGATGATGAATCAGTTTTAAAAATATTGTTTTCCAGATCCTACTACCAACACTTTCAACCCAAGGGGAAGTATGAGAAAGGTAAGTGACTTGATTTATGAAAATTAGGTTTAAAAAGTTGAATATTCCATGCCCGATTTAAGAGGATTCTAAATTCATGAACTAAAGAGTGTTCTTGGCAGGAGTGTTCTCAGCGTGAACTAGAGAAATGTTCTTGGTGGAAATCATACCTTGAAAGAATGGGCCAATCAGCGCTATTTTAAAGCATTTATTTTTCCAAATTTTGATTCATGTAAAATCTTAATGCAAGAAGAAGTTATCCAGTGCCTATTTTGTGTAAAGTATTATAACAAGTTGTAAGAGAAAAAAAAGGTCCCTGCTTTCAAGTTTGTAACCCATTTGTGCGGTCTCATTATTTCAACATGTGTCCACGGACCAGCAGCATCAGTATCGCTGGGAAGCTTGTGAGAAATGCAGACTCTCAGACCTCACGTGGGACCTTCTGACTCAAAAGCTGCATTTTAACAAGATCCCCAGGCAATTCGTATGCACGTTAAAGTGAGAAAAGTGCTGCAATGTAACAAATGAAAAATGGCATGCTGGAAACACTGAGACGGAATACGCACAGCAGACAGCAGAATATCAAGAAAGTTACTTGGGATGTAGTGGAAAAACTGTAACGGAGAATGATGAAATCAGATAGTTAGAAATGGTGTATAATTAATAAAAACAAAACTCCAAAACCAAAACAATTGCTGTTGGCGATTCATGGCGATTCTAAGCGTGTCAGGGTAGAACTGTGCTCCATGGGGTTTTCAATGGCTGATTTTTCAGAAGTAGATCACCAGGCCTTTCTTTTGAGGTACCTTTGGGTGGACTTGAATCTCCAAACTTTCAGTTAGCAGCGAGTGCACTAACCATTTGTGTCCCAGCAAGCGGCAGAGACAGTAACCATGCCACAACTCTTACAGAGAAGTGGGGCCAGGAGGGTCACTCTGAGGAGTTGACCCCGCTTCAGTCCCAGGAGTTTATTTTATAGTCAATACAGCAAGCAATAAAGCAATTAACAAAACAATGGGCTTTGGGTGTGGGCAAGGGAGAAGGAATTCAGGTAAACAAGCCAATCAGTAAAGGGACAATAGGTTTGGGAAAACAAATCATAACAAGTCTCAACATGTTGGAGACAAGTCTCAACATGCTGTGCAGCATAGAGGCCTGTGGGGGCTGCAGTTGTCAATAGTGCAGCCATGTTTAAATGGCATATATCCCCACACATTTGCACCACCCAGCAATTCCTGTACAATCAATAACCCGTTGCTGTTGAGTCAATTTCAACTCATAGGACAGAGTAGAACTGCCCCATCGAGTTCCTTAGGCTGTAAATCTTTATGGAAGCAGACTGCCACACCTTTCTTCTCTTTTGGAGCGACTGGTAGGTTCGAACCTCCGACCTTTCAGTTAGCAGCCGAGCACTTAACCACTGAACCACCAGGGCTCCTTAAACAATTAATAGAGGACTTTAAATGCTTAAAGAAAAATCTGTATGTGACTGTTACCAAGCTTCAGAAAAATCAAAATTAGTGGTTCCTAAAGGGTTTTGTGGGTATACTAGTTTTACAAGCCATTCAAGCCCACCTAGTGATCTACTTCCAAAAAATCAGCCATTGAAAACCCTATAGAGCATAGATCTACTTTGACACACATGGGGTGGCCATGAGTCAGAGTCAATGGACAGCAACCAGTTATGTCTTGACTACAGATTCTTTTCTCACTTAGGACTCTGAATTCATTAACTTATCTCGTTTTTGTTTGGACTGTTTTGGTTTCAGGATGTCTCTGAACAAGACCCTAAGGTTTTACTGAGTCATCTTTTGGCCAGAACCAGGAAACAATATAAGCAACATGAGACTCCCGCTGAATGCTTCTGGAAATACTGTGTGTGAACTGAAATGCGTGTCTGCTAGTTAACTAGGAACAACTATTTCAGAAATTAAAAACGCTTGATTTAAAAACAGCATAAAAGAAAAACTAGGCAAACTATAACCTGTTCATTATTATCTGGAAAATAAATCCTGTTTTGCAAATACCATGTGTGTGGTTGTTTTACTTATAAACATATCCTGAAAAATTACAATTCTACTTTCCTTCAATTAATCCTCAGTTAAAAACAAAAATCCTTTGAAATTTAGAAGGCTAATAAATGAACAAAAGCACTACTACTGATGGGGGAAGTTCATGTGTTCAGACTCCCTCTCTTAGTTGACTGAAGTGTTGAACACTGGAAAACTCGAAACTTTTAACACTGAGATTTGTTTGATCACAGCCATTTATACTGGAGAAAAATCCCTTTTTAACTTCAGAGAGAGAAGAATAGAGAGGTAGAGAGAGGAAAGTTGAGGGGGGATTTAAGATTGTGGAATGGCAGCAGCAGCCTGGTTTACCGATTGAAAAAAAATTCAAATATATGTTTGTGCAAGTATTAAATTTGTACCGGGTGGTACAGTGGGTAAAGCACTCGGCTGCCAACCAAAAGGTCAGCGGTTCGAACCCACCAGCTGCTCCCTGGAAACCCTATGAAGCAGTTCTACTCTGTCCTGTAGGGGCACTATGAGTCAGAATCAACTTGACAGCAGTGGGCTTGGTTTTTGCGTTTGCTACAAGTATTAATTTATATTCTATTAGTACATCTAAACAAATGCAGTTTGTGTATGTATAGTATATTTCGAGCTCCTCAGAGCTGTGTGTCACTCCCAACACAGAACCATGCATACAATGGAGTAAATCTTTAATGTCGAGAAACTTGAGCCTCACAACTTGGGCGGTCAGAGCAATGTCACATTTGTACTGGTCTTGTCAAAAACCACCACAAATCTCTTATGGAGAACAGGCTTGATCCATCTTCCACTTTTCCTTATTTAAGATACCAAGAACAAATTTATAAGAAAAAATGGTTTAAGCTCAGAGAATGGATGTGTAATCTCAAACACGCTGACATTAAGTATGTTGTTGTTAGGTGTCATCGAGTTGGTTCCAACTCATAGCGACCCTACAGGACACAGCAGAACTGCCCCATAGGTTTCCATGAAGCAGCTGGTGGATTTGAACTGCTGATCTTTTAGTTAGCAGCTGAGCACTTAACCACTATGCCACCAGGGCTGTGACATTAAGTATAGCTATGATAATGCTGTGGAATCTCTCTCCATGTAGAAATTGAACTCGTACTAGCTCTCTAAAACACAACTCTGGCACCACAAAACTGTATTTATGATGCCAGAAAGGGCTGAAAAGTGGGATTCCATTATAGTATAACTCCAAAACCCCTCACATGTTGTAGTGATATTAGGCAATTATTCTTAAGGGCAGGGGCTCTGAAGTCAGATCACTAGGTTTGCAACCCTACTCCCAATACACACCAGCTGTGAGTCCTTGATGAAGTGACTCAGCTCCTTGGGCTCCGTTTCCTTCTCTGTAAAATGAGGATAATAACAATGCGTATTTCACTGGGTGGCTGGGAGCATTCATCGTCGAGATAACTCGTGTAAAGCATTTAGAACAGTACCTGCCAGAGCAGTATACATTTAGTAAACCCTGACTCTGGCGCACGTTTACTCTGTCCCATAGGGTCACTATGAGTCGGAATCAACTTGACGGCAATGAGTTGTTTTTTTCCTCCTTCTTGCTGCTGTTATTGTTATTGTGTTACAGAAAGGTGCAAATGCCTTGAAATCTGTAAAATTTTAAAAGCCCCATTGGCTTCAGGATCTTGTTCCAAATTTTAATTTCCAGATCTTGATGCCACCATTTACAGTCAGACTTTGTGAAACACAGGTTCACCCCACAGAATCTGTAGGAGTAATTTTGCCAACTAACCTTTATAAATTTGGCATTAAAATTCATAAGCATTAAAATATGTACATATATTCAGGACCCACATACATTCTTCACAGTGAAGTGGGGATTAGACAAGACAGTGAGTCTGAAAATGCCCGAGTCTTACACACAGCAGGTGCTTAGACACATCTAACAGAGTGTTGCTGAAAAGACCAATAGTAATCGAATAGGATGGTCTTCTAATATCTTCATGCTGTTGTTGCTGGGCGCCATCAAGTCGATTCCAATTCATAGCGCTCCCATGTGACAGAGTAGAACTGCCCCAGAGAGTTTTCTAGGCTGTAATCTTTACAGGCGCAGACTGCCAGCTCAAACCACCAACCCTTCGGTTATCAGCCAAGCATTTAACTGTTTGTGCCACCAGGGCTCCGTTAATATCCTAATAGATATTTCTAAACGTTATAAAATACATATGCAGGGCAAAGATGTGTTGACAAAGTGAAAGAAAATCTCTGAAGCTTTACATGTACACAGTTTACTGTTTTTACTTAAAAAAGATACCCAGTTAAAATATTAACAACCACTAAAAACGAGTAAATTCACATGATTATAAATTTGGTGGAACAAAATTTCAATTTGGATTAAATTTACCTTGTGAATTATACTGGTGTCATTTAATTGCAAAACTACCCCATTCACAGAGCAATCATTGTTCATAAATCCTGACCACTTACTGGAGAAACTAGCTTTCTGGGTAACATTTATGTAAACATTGAAGCCTCCAATGTACATGTTGTATTACCAGTTTTAAGGTCATGAATATAAAGAGTTAATAAAGGTGAACAACAAAGCAGAGACTGGGTGTGGCCCCCGTGGGGGGCAGAGCAGTCACTGCTGCCCTCCCCGTTGTTCCCCGTTGTTCCTTCGCAGCAGCAGTAACATCACAGGGATCCCAGTTCTAACCTGCTTATCAAAAAGTGAGTGTGTGTAAATGCTTTTACAGGGCTGCCTACAACAAGCACCAGTTTCCAGTTAAGCTTAATGTAACAGACACTCCCTAAAACATGTGCTAAGGCAAAGAAATAAGCAGATTTAGATGAAACCAGTCTCCCGAAACAATGGACAAGAAGAGCTGGCATCACTGGAGGGCAGGGGTTTAAATGCGCACACACAAGCGCAGATGACCCTCTGACGCTGCATGTTCCATTTCTGATTCAAACACATAAAAAACTTTATTAGCATAAAAAGGTCACAATGATTATATTTATGGGCAATATCCAGGCTGGTTAAATTTTTTAAATTTGAGTGTTCACCAAGAGCAAAAAACCCCACACAACTTGACCAACACAAAAGTGCTTCAGCAGTCATTCAACTATCAACAGGGCGTTGAATAGGAGCATTTTCTTATCATAAAACAGGGATATTTGCTTAATATTAGAAAATTCCAAGAAATGTCAAAAGGTAGCCTTTGAAAATGGTCTGATACTGTTTAAGGTAAAATTACCATCCAGGAAAATGCTACTTAGAAAGGAGGTCTGTAATTCCAGGGATGGGGGGTCAGGGTCCAGCAGTCTTCCTGGATACAAAGGTTGATTCTCTCATCATTATCAGGATGCACTTAGAAAAAGCTATAAAACTTCAAATGAGAAAGAAGTGTTTTCCTAAAAAAACAATAATAATGAAATTAAAAAAAAAAAATTAGTCACTTACATATTATATAAAAGATAAAGGGTTATCGTAACCTTCATTTCCTTTTTCTGTCTGCCCGGGTGTGCATTTCGTGTATTGCTCTAAGTCTGAGAAGGAAATCTGTGACTTCTCTAAAGAGCACCAGTAAAGAGCTAACTTACCAAGTAAACATCACACTCACTTCTTAAAAGACAACTAAAAATGGCCTAGAAAGCAATGACCATGGAAGACGTTGCAGCCTCCCAGACTAGGGTTACAGAACGCCCTCAACGCCTTTCTCACTGCGCAGGCCCTTCACAATGCTTACCCCTGCTTACTGGGCAGACAAAAGGCCTGTAGAGTCAGCCCTCAGACACAAGACACCTCTTGTGCGTAAACTGGTTGGGAAGAAAGTTAACCGTTAGTTTTGGTAAGACTGAGCATTTAAACACATTTAAGCATATAAGAACAATATCAACTTTTACAGAACTTGGAATTTTTTACAATCTATTTTATAAACAAAAACATTAAAAAGGGAAAATATCATTTGTTGAGACAGAAGTTCTTTTGTTTCAACATCAGACACGCAAACATTAAACTCTCAAAAGGGTAAGCCAATTTCAAGCTTCTCAGTTTTTAAGATAAGACTTTCAGAATTTCAGCAGAAGGTAGAAAATCTAAAGAGTAAGACATCTATAAGAATGAAGATCAAAATTCAACCCTAAAGTCTCGGTATTTCCAGTTATACTGAGGGGCATTATAGTTGAGTATTGGTAAATACTAAAGTGACTTTGTGTTGTGTAGGAAAAGAAAACTGGAGTTTTGTCTGAATTTTCAGGGGAAGCACCAAACTGTGCAAAGCCTAGATGAAGGAAGTAAATTCATGGAAATCACTATGGTAACGATATGGCCCGTGGGTAAATTTCTTCAAGGGTTCTCATGGGGAAGATGGTTTCTGTAACCACAGAATACAAAATAAACGAGGCTAAGGTTTTGGGCTGCTTCTAGCTAGACTTCTAATCATGATTTATTTTGGGTTCTGCCATGCACCTATATCGTTAGACACCATCCAATCTCTTGAGAAGACAGCTAAACCAGAAAGAGTCTAATTGACAGTTTTAATGCATCAGGAACAAAGAGACATAAGAGATTGTAGATGAAATGTCTGCTTCAGAAAAATAGCGTCTATTAAAAAACAGAGAAGGAAAAACTGTAACATTCAATGATAACTGCATGGTCGTTTAAGAGTCAAAGGTTTAAAGCAACACACAGAGGTCTAGGTGTCCAGCTCGTCCTGGGAAGGGCGTGAAGGTGTGTTTTCATAGTCACTCAACTCTTGTCTTCGGCTGGACCCTGGTCGGAGCATTCTGCGGCTTCAACAACTGAGTCTTTGTTTTCACAGGTGACACAGCCCTTCAGAAAAGAACAAGAGCAGGTAGGTTATTTGATGCTAACGTCATCTGAAGAGTTTTAAAACCAGTAAAATACTGACCAACCAACATATTTCTACCTCCACGACTGATTCAGTTCACAGCTAAGCACATCCATTACAGTTCACTGTTTACTACTGGAAGGTAAATGACAGCAATTGTTTAAATACCTTCTACCGGGGGAGGGGACTCATTCTCCATATACTCTTCTATTCAAAAACCAGAAAAACAACATTTTAAAAATGAAGACACTTATAGTGACCAGCCCAGCTCCTGCTTTTTGACAAGACCACATCTCACCATTCCTAAATGGCAGGAACTTCTTCTTTTCTTTAAAAATGGGGGTGGGTAGACTCCAATGACTTGTTTACTTTGTAAGCCTTGGTACCACACTTTTTTGAACTCCTAACTTTATTCTCTTGCTCTGACTGTTAACGTCACTCCTCATCCTCTATCTTGATACATGTGGGAATAAAGACCTCATCACTAGCATAGCCATTGCTGCCATCATCACAGCTGTTGCCACCATGTCTGTCTGGACCACTGGTCCATCAAAGCATCGGTGTTCAGGCTCACTCACAGATGATCTCACTGAGAAAACCTCATAATAGCAAAAGACCACTGGGCCCCATGGAAGTTCTTGCTACGTATAAACACTGCTCTGGTGTACATCTTACACCTTGTGTTTTAAATCTTTTCAAATATGCACTCCAATTGGTGAAAGAAAAACTCAAAAAGACCTGTATTCAAAACCCAGTGAACAGGGTGACCTTATACAAATTGTTGAGTATCTGGACACCTTACTTCATTGCTTATCTGTAAATGAGGGATAACAATACCTACCACCAAGGTAACTGCAAGGATTAACATTTTCAGAGGGGTCTGCAATGCACGGTACCTGGCACAAAGGACATCACTACGTAGGAGCTTACTTGGATGTCTATTTCTTGAGGGAAGGTCTGGCTCTGAATCCAAGGATGCACCTTGGCCAGCTCCTCCCTCTGTTCTCGGGAAAATTGAGGCTGTCCCTGCCTCATGCTCTCCAGCTTTTCTAGGTCTTCTTTTAGTACAACTTCTTTAACCCTGGAAACAAACCAGACAACAGACAAACCTTAACAGCTGTCATCTGAGAACAGCACAAGCCTTTCTCATTTCTAATGATAATATACCTTATATCTCCTGTTAATATATGACTCACACATTAAAAATTAATTGAATTGTTTGTCACGTTGGTTAAGCTTGATCTTTTTTCCTTGGTAAAAACAACTGAATAGTGTTTTAATGAGGCATATAGAAGAAACAGAGTTCCCTTAGCTCTTCTACTCCTTTAGACTGGGGAAAAAAAACAACAACAACAAAAACCCAAAGTCTAAAAAGAAACGTTTTTGTGCTTGTGTGCCATCTCGGACAGCACTGCCTTTGTTTTCTTGTCTCATGACATGTATCACATTTGTTTAGTCTTAATCTTAATATATGTGGTACTATCACCACAACCCTTATAAAAAAATCATTTCTTCACTTGACTCCAAATGAATGACTTTTAAAATAGATTTTCTACGTGTATGTATAAAAACATTTAAAAATCATTTTGCATTATAAATCACATAAGAACCCATAAAGAACTTCATGTAACGGTGAGTCTTCTAAAGTGCTTCCTTACCTCTTGGGTACCTGATATGTCATTAGAATACACTCAGGTGTCTCTTCTATCATTCTCCAGATGGACTCTTGGTCGGAATTGGGACATGTTTCTTTTTTCAGTGCATCCTGAGACATTTGCCCATTTGGGGAGACTTCAGAAGAGTGATCACTACTAGCAAAGTATATACTGCTCTCACTGCTTCCTATGAAGAATCAACAACAACTGATTAGAAAACACCTGTCAGGCACTGGTTTGCCAAACTGGCCCTCATTCTCCCATTCTCCCAAGACTCTGGCAGCCAGCTGGTGGTCTTCCTCACCACTAAGCCTCCCAAGGACAGTCTTTTAGCCCTTGATCTTCCTAGGATCTCCTTTTCTATCTACCTGCTCTCCCCTCAAGGCCACTCTTTGCTCCTTATCACTACCCACAACTGCTCCACCTCCACAATCACTAGCATCCTCGCCCCACTTGCTTGTTGGCTTGGTCCTTGTTCCCACTACAAATCTCTACCTCCCAGAGCCTTATCCTTTCTCCACTTCCGTCATCGTTCAAGTTGGGAGTCCACACTGCCACCACTTGATAACGCTCTTTGCAATACCTTAGACTTCTTTTTCCCTCTGACTTTTCACAACTACCAAAATGTCAACTCCGATAAAGCCAGTTATCGACTCGGTTCTTATCTAAACCCAAGCAGTAAGGCATGCTGGAGAAAGCCACACATAACAGGGGTAGATGCTTCCACTACAAATTCATTGCCACCAACCTCAACAGGTCCATCCACTGTCTTATCAGCTATTAAGAGAGGGCTGTTACAGTGTTTAACTATAATTGTGAAGCTCTTTTATTAGTGCTTACACATTTGAAATTTTTCTTTCCTCTTGATGAACTGATCCCTTTATTATAAAATGTATGTTCTTTAGAGTCAACTTTATCTGATACCAATGTGGCTACTCCATCTTTGTTTTGATTATTACTTGCATGGTATATTTTCCCCCTTCTTTTACTTTTAACTTATCTGTGTCTTCGTATTTCAAGTGAGTCTCTAATAACCAGCATATACAGTAAAACTCACAAAAGCTGGAACCTGTGTAAGGTGGAAACCTGCCAGAGAAGGAAAACTAAAATATTTTCCATAAAATGAGAGATAGAAAAGAGGTAAGACTGCATCCTGTCCAAGGTGGAAAACTTGTGAGACCTGGAAAAACAAGGCAGTCCCATCAAGTTCCGGCTCTCAAGGTTTCACTATAGTTGGGTATTGTTTTTTTATCCACATGACAATCAAGTAGATAGAAAACCAGATAAGATATAAGTTAAAGCAGGTCAACATTATCAAATGTTAGAGATTAAACTGTGTTCCTCTATACCTGCAGGTGTAATCCTATTTGGAAATAGGGTTTTCTTTGTTATGTTAATGAGGCCATAACTCTGTAGGATGTGTCAAACATATGGAAAAAGCAGATTAGACACAGAAATAAGCACAAAAGGGGGGAAAACAGATGCCACGTGAAGATCACCTAAGAACTAAGCAACACTGGGGCTACAGAAGCTGAAAGAGACAAGGATCTTCTAGCAGAGTCGACAGAGAGCCTTCTCCTATAGCCAACACCCTGAATTCAGACTTCTAGGCTCCTAACTCTGAGAAATAAATTTCTGTTCTTCAGAGCCACCCACTTGTGGTGTTTCCATTAACAGGAGTACCAGGAGACTAAGACATCAACCAATGTGATCTAATTTACATTTCCAGTACATTCTACTCATCAACGGTAGAACACACATTTCAAGTGTCCACGAAAAACTGACCAAGATAGACCAAATTGTTAGCCATTAAACAAGTCTCAGTAAAGTAAAACATTCGAAGAATATTCTCTAGCTGCAATGGGATTTAACTAGAAATCAATAAAAGAAAAAATATCTGGAAAAATCCTCAGATATTAGGAAATTAAACAACACATTTCTATATAACCTATGGATCAAAGAAGAACACAAAAGAGCAATTAGAAAATATTTTGACCTGAAGGAAAATAAAAATACAACTAATAAAATTTGAGTGATGTAGGTAAAGCAGTGCTTAGAGAAAAATTAACAGCATTAAATGTTTACATTGTTGTTGTTAGGTGCTGTTGAGTCGGTTCCAACTCAGAGTGACGCCATGTACAACTGAATGAAACATTGCCTGGTCCTGCACCATCCTCACAATTGTTTTGTTTGAGCCCATCACTGCAGCAACTGTGTCAACTCATCTTGTTGAGGGTCTTCCTCTCTTTTGCTGATCCTCTACTTCACCAAGCAGGACGTCCTTCTCCAGGTACTGGTCCCTCCTGATACCATGTCCAAAGAACGTGAGACGAAGTCTCGCCATCCCCACTGCTAATGAGCATTCTGGTTGTACTTCTTCCAAGACAGATTTCTTCATTCTTCTGGTAGTCCATGATATATTCAATATTCTTCACCAACACCTCCATAATTCAAAGGCATCAATTCTTCTTTGGTATTCCCTATTCATTGCCCAGCTTTTGCGTGCATATGAGACAGCTGAAAACGCCATGGCTTGGGTCAAGTGCACCTAAATCCTTAAAGTGATATCTTTGTTTTCTAACACTTTAAAGAGGTCTTTTGCAGCAGATTGCCCAATGCGATGTGCTGTTTCATTTCTTGACTACTGCTTCCATTAGTGTTGATTGTGGATCCAAGTAAAATGAAACCCCTGACAACTCCAATCTTTTCTCCATTTATCACAATGCTGCTTATTGGTCCATTTGTGAGGATTTTTGTTTTCTTTATGTTGAGGTGCAATCCATACTGAAGGCTGTAGTCTTTGATCTTTATCAGTCAGTGCTTCAAGTTCTCTTCACTTTGTCCTGCTGCACAATGTTCTGCCACTATTCATAAGGTTTTCACTGGCTGCTTTTTTCTCAGAAGTAGACTGCCAAGTCCTTCTTCCTAGTCTGTCTTAGTCTGGAAGCTAAGCTGAAACCTGTCCACCATGGGTGACTCTACTGGTATTTGAAATACTGGAGGCCAGGAACACACAAACCACCACAGTATGACAAACCAACACACATGTGGGGAAATGTTTGTATTAGAGAAGAAAAAAAGATCTCAGATCAATGATCTAAGCTTCTATCTTAACAAATAAGAAAAAGTAACAGAACCAATGAGGCACAGCAGTGCAGGGACAAGGACTAGAAGGCAAGAGGAGACAAGAAAGCTGATGATAGGGAACCCAAGGTTCAGAAGGGACAGTGTTGGCATGTTGTGGGGTTGTTAACCATTGTCATAGGGCAATATGTGTATTAACTGTTTAATGAGAAACTATCTGCTCTGTAAACCTTCTCACGAGTACCACTTTATGTCCCACAGTCCAGTCCAATTCCTGTCTGAAGAGTTGGCCTTGGAAATTGTTTTAGTTCTGGGCTGACAAGAGAATCCAGGGGCCATGCTTTCCAGGGTTCCTCCAGTCTCAGTCAGACCATTAAGTCTGGTCTTTTTACTAGAATTTAAGTTCTGCACCCCACCTTTCTCCTGCTCCATCAGCAACTCTCTGTTGTGTTCCTTGTCAGGGCGGTCATTGGTGGTAGCCAAGCACCATCTAGTTCTTCTGGTCTCAGGCTGATGAAGTCCCTTGTTTACGTGGCCCTTTCTGTCTCTTGGGCTAATACTTTCCTCTTGTCTTTGGTGTTCTTCATTCTCGTTTACTCCAAGTGGTTGGGACCAATTGATGCATCTTAGATGGCTGCTAGCAAGCTTTTAAGACCCAGATGCCACTCACTGAAGTACCATGCAGAACATTTTCTTAAAAAGGTTTGTTATGCCAATTGACCTAGATGTCCCCTGAAAGCATGGTCCCCAGATCACTACCCCTGCTACTCTGTCCCTCAAAGTGTTTGACTGTATTCAGGGAACTTCTTAGCTTTGGTTTAGTCCAGTTGTGCTGACTTCCCATGTGGAGTGTGTTGTCCTTCCATTCACCTAATACTTGTCTACTATCTAGTTAGTGAATAACCCTCACTCTCCCTCCCCACCCTCGTAACCATTAAAGAATATTTTCTTCTGTGTTTAAACCGTTTCTTGAGTTCTTATAATAGCGGTCTTATACAATATTTGTCCTTCTGTGACTGACTAAATTCACTCAGCATAATGACCTCCAGCTTCCTCCGTAAGATGTTTCACAGCTTCATCGTTGTTCTTTATCATTGTATAATATTCCACTGTGTGGATATACCATAATTTATCCATTCGTCTGTTGATGGGCACCTAGGTTGCTTCTATCTTTTTGCCATTGTGAACAGTGCTGCAATGAACATGGGTGTGCATACATCTATTCGTGTGACGGCTCTTATT